AGTAACCAAATGTTAGGACTACAAGTGGGACAAAGAGGACTCTTTAAACCAGTGGTGGCATTTAGTGCAGGGACGAGGGGCTGCCGCCTGCTGGGGCAGAGACGACATTAACCAATGTTGTACATTAATAAAAAATTATAATTAGTTTAACCGACTAATATTTCTGGTGTCAACTAGCAAGATTAGTAACCGACTACTTGACTACTCTGACGAAACGCTTTGAGAACCTGGTTCTCCAGCACATAGAGAACAACATGCCAGCCGGACCCTCACCAGTTTGCATTCAGAACCAACAAATCTACAGAGGTTGCCATCTCCACTGCCCTCCACTCGGTCTTCATACACCTTTAGAAAAACAACACCTACGTTAGTATGCTGTTTATTGGTTTCAGCTCAGCATTCAACACAATCTCTCCTGTGAAAGCGATTGGTAAACTCAGCAGTCAGGGCCTGAATACCACACTCTGCAACTGGATATTGGACTTCCTCACAAACAGACAGTTCTGATATGTCACTGTAATCTAGTTTCCTTTTAAGTTTTCATTTGTATTTCTTCCTTTAGTGTAACTTTTATATAGTTTGCTCTATTTATCTATTGTCTATATTATTTTTTCATTTTCTATTCTATTTATATATTTGAAAATCTGTGTGTGAAGCATGGAGTGGGCAACAACTGCATTTTATTGTGTCATCCTGTAGTGCATGTAGACGACAAGCAATTTTTGATTTTAAAGGGTGTATGAATACACTGACATAGCAGGTAATATTTCATTATTTTCTGCAAAGAAAACTAAATGAAATGTTATTGTTTAAGTTTTTATTAATATTTAAGATACAAAACAACCAAAGAGCTAATAGAACAATGTGAATAAAATGCTGAATTTGTCAAAAAATAATGCCTTTTAAATATGTGTGATTGTAAAATAAATACATAATATAGACAGAGAATTATATAGAAATTCCCCAAACTATAATGAAATTATAATAATAGCAGACTTGTAGCAGTTTGTTTAGTGATGTGTGTAAGGATAGGACTGATAATGTGCTGTCTGTACTTGTACATGTCAATTCCTATCTTCATCTCACAAATCATTCAGAGGTGTTTGGAACTTTTTTGCATTGCACATCTGTAAAAAAGAAAAACAGAAAAAACCTGCCCTGTGGACACTGTGGCTTTAGGGGTGATCTGTGAGTAATATGAGCTAAGATATGACCTCCACTGACACCCCTTCAGTCTTTGCCAGATAGCGAAGAGAAAAGAGAATATCCAGTCTTCCTTTGGACTTCGGTTTGTATAAACAAACATTACAGGAATAATTTTGAGGGTTACATTTGAAACCCTCCCCTGTATGCCAGATTTGGTTGAGCCCAGGGTTCCAGCAGATCCAAGATGGCGGACTGAGCAGCGCCGTGCAGAAGTTCACTTTTAACTGTAAACGCTGAAGCTTGTTCTCCTGCCTCTCTCTCGTCGAGCTGCAGTTTGTTGAGAACGAATACTGGTGAGTCCGAAATCACTGCCAGTTCTCATGTTCTGCGCCGCTGTCTCAAAGTTGAAGCCCGTTTTCTGTGCGGAGTTCTGTGAGTAGCTGTCGTAGCCTCAGCTGCTAGCTGTAACGTTATTCCGGTTATCCCAGTGGTTACGGGACTGGGGTTGTACTTGGAATCTTTATTCCACATGGGAAACACATGGATATGCCAGCGCTATAAAGGGAATAGAACATGAGAGAGGAGGCTGAGGTTTATCACCCTGAGCCCCTGGACGCTAGCGTTTGCTATGCTAACATTAACGACTGTTGCTTTACGGAGCTAGCTGTTAGCATGCTAGCTGGGATCTACGACGCTGCTGGCTGTAGAAATAAAGTTTTCCCGTAATTATTTTATGCTGCTTTTCTTATTCTTCATGCAAGGCCGCTTTTGTATGCGGACACCGAGATGTGTGTGCTTTCAATATGCAGAACGACTTATTGTGGAGCACCTTGTTTTCCTCAGTGTAACGTTAATGGGAAATCTGAGGTTGTGTTTTGGTGTCTGACGTTACTGAGATCCGGAGCTGTGTCAGAGCTGCCGGGACCCAGGCTGGATGTTCTGGCCCCTGTCTG